CTCTCTTTGTCCTCTCCTCTCCGCTTCATCTCTCCCTCCCTCGGAGGGGTGCGATGGATCTGGAGAAGCCCTGCCCTGCCGCCACCTCCGATGTCGCGGCTGCCGCGCCCTGCAACCGCTGACCTGCCTCTTGCTCTCCGCCCGGTCTGCCCTGGGGCAGCCCGCCGATGAGGGGGGCGCGCTCTTTGGCGCAGGGCCAGGTCAGGCGAAGTGCATCCTGCCCTTCTCTCCCTCCCCCTCCGAGGCCCGAGTTGCTTTTTCCCGGAAAGGGCATCGGCCCAGGGTTCTCTTTTAGTATGTAAACTTGTCCCCGGTGCCTCAACTGAGGTGGGCCGGCGGATTCTTTCCTTGATGAATATCGAGGTCGAGGTGGGCCGGCGGATTAAAATTTGAGGATGTCTCAGGCGAAACGCTTGTTTTTGAAATCCCGATCGATAAATCACAGGGTGCGGGCCACCCCAGCACGACCACACCCCAGCACGACCCCACCCCAGCACGACCACACCCCAGCACGACCACACCCCAGCACGACCACACCCCAGCACACACGACCACACCCCAGCACGACCCCACCCCAGCACGACGCACCCCAGCACGACCACACCCCAGCACGACCACACCCAACACGACCACACCCCAGCACGACCACACCCCCGCACGACCTCACCACAACACGACCACACCCCCCACGCCCCAGCACGACCACGCCCCAGCACGACCCACCCAGCACGACCAGCACGACACGACCACCCCCCAGCACGACCACACCCCAGCACGACCACTCCCAGCACGACCACACCCCAGCACGACCACACCCCAGCACGACCACACCCAGTCGCCCCCCGTGAATGTTTCGTGGGTGTCTGGTTGAGTGGTTGCCTGTTCGTGGGGTGTCTCGTGGAATGTTTCACGGGGTGTCTCGTGGAATGTTTCGTGAGGTGTCTCGTGGAATGTTTCGTGAGGTGTCTCGTAGGATGTTTCGCAGGGTGTCTCGTGGGATGTTTCGTGAGGTGTCGCCCAGTTGGGTATCGTGAAAACGTGACCATGCTGCACATGTCTATATCCCTTTCCGGGATCGTGGGTCCATCATTGTTCGATGGTTGTGCTTCTCTTTCAAGTCCTCTCCAGGCTGACTGCATGCTTTCCTTGTCTTCCGCGCGGTCGTAGTTTCGAGGGCTCCCCCCTTGGTTCTCGGGGTGCGAGCCTTCAGCAGGACGGCGCGCAGACTGCTGCAATGCTGCATCCGAGGCAGGGGGGGCTTCTTCATTAAAGGAGGAAGGAAAGGAGTAGAGGGGAGAGAGGGAGAGAGAGAGATCAGAGACAGGAACGACATGATGATGATGATGATGATGATGATGATGATGATGATGATGATAATGATAATGATGATGGTGGTGGTGGTGGTGCGGAGGAGGAGGAGGATGATGATAATGATGATGATTACGTTGTTGATGATGATGTTGATATTGATGATGATGCTGATCATGATGATGATGATGATGATGATGATGATGATGATGATTATGATTATGATGTTGATGATAAGTCTGTCGATGGTGGTAATGTTGGTAGCCATGATGATAATGACGACGACGATGATGATGATTACGTTGTTGATGATGATGACGAATATGATGGCAATGACGGTGACGACGATGATGACGATGCAAATGATGACGATGGTGATGTTGATGACGACGATGAATATGTTGATGACGATACTGATGATTATGATGAGGCTTCTGATTATTATGACGATTCTGTATGAGGAAATGCTGATGGTGATGCTGATGATACTGATGATGATGATGCTGATGATGATGGTGACGATCACCATAATGATGTTGCTGCTGGTGGTGTTGATGTTGATGATGGTGCTGCTGCTGATGTTGATGATGATGGTATAATTGATGATCATGCTGATGCTGATGGTGATGCTGATACTTATGATGATGGTGATGGTATTGATGAATATGTTGCTGCTCATGATGATGATGTTGTTGATGGGCATGATGATTATGATGATGACGATGCTGATGCCGCTGACGCCGCTGATGGTGATAATGATGATGATGGTGATTATGATGATGATGATGATGATGATGATGATGATGATGATGATTATGATGATGATGGTGCTGCGGGGGATGATAATGACAAAAATGAAGATGGAGATGCAGATGAATGACTATGATGTAATTGTTGTCGCTTCGCGAATCCCCACCAGCCCATCCAGAAACGATGCCCAGAGGAATTGCCTCGATCAGAGAAGTGGGCAGCACACAGAGGAAGCCATTATGAGACATCTTGGGATATCTTGAGCCATCTTGGAGGTCATTTTGGGCTCTCCCAGACGCTCTTGGAGTCATCTTAATCCGTGCCCCCCCCCAAGAGGCCTCCATGTGGCTAAAACCTGTGTAGAATCAATGATTAGGCATTCTCGCCGAGGCCTCTTGGAGCATCTTGGGTGCATCTGGGGGGGCTCTTGGGGCCTCTTGGG